GTGCGAAGTTCACACTCAGTAACAATGAGATTTCAGCCTGAAATAGTTTGCCAATGTGCGAATGACCATTCTCAGTAACGATGAGATTTCAGCCTGAAATAGTTTGCCACTGTACAAATGTTCACACTCAGTAACGATGAGATTTCAGCCTGAAATAGTTTGCCACTGTGCGAATGTTCACACTCAGTAATGATGAGATTTCAGCCTGAAATAGTTTGCCAATGTGCGAATACACACATGCAGTAACAATGAGATTTCAGCCTGAATTAGTTTGCCACTGTGCGAATGACCATTCTCAGTAACGATGAGATTTCAGCCTGAAATAGTTTGCCATTGTGCGAGTGTTCACACTCAGTAACGATGAGATTTCAGCCTGAAATAGTTTGCCACTGTGCGAATGTCTGCACTCAGTATTGATGAGATTTCAGCCTGAAATTGTTTGCCACTGTGCGAATGTTCACACTCAGTAACGATGAGATTTCAGCCTGAAATAGTTTGCCACTGTGCGAATGTTCACACTCAATAACGATGGGATTTCAGCCAGAAATATTTTGCCACTATGCGAATGTCCATGCTCAGTAACGATGAGATTTCAGCCTGAAATAGTTTGCCACTGTGCGAATGTTCACACTCAGTAACAATGAGATTTCAGCCTGAAATAGTTTGTCACTGTGGAATGTCCATGCTCAGTAACAATGAGATTTCAGCCTGAAATAGTTTGTCACTGTGGAATGTCCATGCTCAGTAACGATGAGATTTCAGCCTGAAATAGTTTGTCACTGTGGAATGTCCATGCTCAGTAACGTGATTATATTTCCGCCATGCACTATAGTGCTTCTACTTCCAATTGAACAATTGCTAAATGTATACTTTCACGGTGATAGTTAGGATTATATTGATTATTAGTTATCACTAAATAAAGAATATCCCCGTAATAATCTTAAAACAACAACTTTCATTGTTATTTTACATGTTCACATAGATTTAATTTAGAAGACTTTACTTATAGCTAAATTGAAACCTAGTGCATAATAAATACTAAGTTCGGTATTGCACCTTCAGATGTACAAGGAGAATATTTTTTTATTGGGAACCAATTCTGTTTCAGTTGTTGATTGTGACTGACAAAGTTTTGGATTATCCTCATAAAAATTTATTGATAGCATCATCCCTGCTAAAAGTAAAAGTATGTTGATGAGAATAAGGGCATATAATTAAGGTCATATAAAGTAACCACACATCATAAAAAACAAGCTATGCATGGCACAGTCCCAGTTAGTTATCAAATTTCAGATAGTTTTGTTTATAGTAATATAGCTGGAATATAACCATGTCAGGAATATGATTTTTTAACATTAAAATAATTGAAATAATTGACATTTGTATCTGATCGTCAAACAAGTACTTGTCCATATTGAGAGATATTGCTCTGGAACAGCATTCAAAATCAGCCATTTTGAATACATGTATATATATATAACATGATGTATAACGAATATATAAAATTTGAATATAATCAGTCAAAGCATTTAGGAGATATGGCTCTAGAAGCCCAATCCTTCAAACAAAATGACCGCCAGTCAGCCATTTTGAATCCAAGCTGAATAATAAAATGACGTGCATCAGGAACCTGTAATGTCTAATGTATGTTATAAATTTGAAATGCTTGATATTTGAAGATTTTCTTAGCACAAAAATAGCCACCATTTGGCCACTTTAAAAAGGATCGTCAAACCAATATATCCGTATAACTATGATTAGAACATAATCAGTCAAAACAAGTCAGACATATGGGTCTGGAAACCCATTCATTAAAACAAAATGGCTGTGAGACAGCCATTTTGAATCTGATCTGAAAAATAAAATGATGTGCATCAGAAACCTATCTAATATATGTACCAAGTTTGAACGAAATCCATCCATAAATGCCAGAAACGCTTAATATTTGATGATTTTTTAGCACAGAAATGGCCACCATTTGGCCATTTTGAATAGGATCGTCAAACCAATATATATGTCTATCTATGACATGATGTATAATGAATATTTACATGCAGCCAATACACAGAAGATATCATTAGAAAATGAACAATATGTATAGTATCAAAAATATTCACCAAAATTAGAGAATTAAAGAAATCAGCATGAAATGAACAAATCTGAGAGAGGTCCACATGTAGTACCTATATATGTAATATCAAAGCAATTGGACTTGCGGTTTTAACAAGAAGTCAAAAATATCACTTTTTACCAAAAACTGACAAAAATATTCACCAAAATTAGAGAATTAAAGATATCATTACAAAATGAACAAATCTGAGAGAGGTCCACATGTAGTACCTATATTTGTAATATCAAAGCAATCGGACTTGCCGTTTTTAACAAGAAGTTAAAAATATCAAAATAACTAAAATATTCATCAAAACGAGAGAATTTGAGATTTTGACATGAAATGAACAAATCTGAGAAAGAACCATCCAAAGTACTTGCATATCAAATTTGAAAAAATTCTGACTTGCGGTTTCGGAGAAGAAGTTGAAATTGTAAAGTTGATGACGACGGACGCCTCAACGACGACGAACAATCAGAAATATGCTTTGTCGACAGCTGAGCTAAAAATTTGAACATAAGCATTGAAAGCAAGTCAGACATATGGCACGAGAACCACATTCATTAAAACAAAACGGCCGCCAGTTGGCAATTTTGAATCTAAACTGAAAAACAAAATTATTTGCATCAAGGTCCCATGATGTACATACCAAGTTTGAACAAAATCCATCTGTAAACAGCCGAGAAATGCTTGACTATTATGATTTTTTAGCACAAAAATGGGTGCCATTCGGCCATCTTGAATCAGATCGTAAAACAAAATGATGTGCATCAAGGTTCTATAATGTCCAACGTATATACAAGGTTTGAACAAAATCCATCTGTAAACAGCCGAAAAATGCTTGATTTTGATGATTTTTAGCACAAAACTGGCCGCCATTCGGCCATCTTGAATCAGATCGTGAAACAAATTGACGTGCATATGTATAATATCATGTATGATGTACGTGTGAAGTTTGATTGTGATTGGTCCAGGCATTTCTAAGATACAGGTCCGGACGCACGCACGCAGGCAGGCACGCACACACACACACACACACACACACACATGCGGTGGTCAAAACACAAGTCCCTGTTTTCGGACTGCGTTCGAACGGGGACTAATTAATTAATCTTTTTGTTTTTTTATATGTAGTACCAGGTATATGTACACCTGTATTAATCTTAATATTTCATACTGAATAATACCCGGTATAACAAAAAGCTAAATTTGGTGGTATCATGGTGAAATGTCTTCATTTGCACTCATTTAACAAATTATTATTTCAGCAAAATTTTCACCCACATCATTATTATACATGATAGTCACACCACAATTGAACTAAGTTATTTTCCCCAATACATGTAAGACATGCCTGTATTAAACAGATCCCACAGGATTTAATAAAATAGCAAATTTCACAAAAAGATTTCACTCTACATGAAGTACGGGCTATGATTTTAGCTAATCTCATATGTTTGAAAATCTAATTATGATTACTAGCACAGTAACAGGAAGGTATGATAAAAAGTGCAGATTGCAGAAGAGGAAGTATGGTAGCATTGTTTTGAGAAGAGTCTTGTTGCGAGTTCATTCTTTCTAGAGAACAATCTCCCTACGTGTGTTTTAGTTGATTGTCGTGTCGGAAATGACATATACTGAAATGAATATTTATGAATATACTGATAATAGTAAATCTTCAAAATGAACATTGAAAACATTGGCGTATCCGGACTGTGTCTTAAAAACAGCCAGATTTAATATGTACATTCACACAGGTTTTCTTTGACCTCTTAGCCCATGCTACAAACTATGCATTAACACTACTAATGAGACTATGAGGTGAAATAAATGTCTCTCAAAAACAGGATTATTGATGTACCACCACAGACCAAAAAAATATTGATGCTGTAAACAGTGTACCATACACAATGTTTACATCACATAGTTCTGTAGTCTCTGAAGTGGACAGTCTTAAGGACTATTAGCAATAGTGCAAATGATATATTTGCTAGAGTGTATATTAGGCTTTTTGCATTTAATTAATTCATATTTATACACATCATATCTAAATATGATATCAATTCTGATACATACTACAGATAAACTGCTATTGCCAAAATGCCTGGTTATGCATTAGGTGTTAATTCATGCTGATATCTACAGCTGGTACTTAGTCCAGGACAAAGTGGCCCGAAAACATGCATATTGCTTATTTTTATGTCAAAAGCGTCTTAACACTGGTAATGAATGTTTCATGATTTTTTTATTCCCACATGTCAAAATTTTATCCAGATTCAGGGCTGATGCAATGCAACAGAATAATATCAGTTGACAATTTATAGCAAAGACTCAATATGGGTTAGAATTACTATACAAACATATTACAACACAAAGACTCAATATGGGTTAGAATTACTATACAAACATATTACAACACAAAGACTCAATATGGGTTAGAATTACTATACAAACATATTACAACACAAAGACTCAATATGGGTTAGAATTACTATACAAACATATTACAACACAAAGACAGATAATAAATTTGCTCATTTATAATTAAATATCCATTCCAATGAAGGTATACTTTGATGTTCAATTAGAATTGACCATTGACGATCAATTAAATCTTGAGTAGTCTAAAGGCTCTAGCCATGGGTTTGAATCTTATGTTCAGCAAACTTGCTCAATATTGGAGGAAGAACTCATCAACTCTATAAGTCCAAAACTTTTTTTATCACATGCTCAACTTGGAGTACCACATAAACCGAAAAAATGCAATTTTATGCTAAGGCAGAACTTTTAAGCATGTCAGTTACAGTTGCTGACGGCTATCAATAATTGGCAGAAATATCATTATTTTCCCATCATGTCTGGGTATTTTGATCAGTAAAAAGCTGTGGTAATTCTCTCCTATCGCATCTGGATATTTTGATTTGTAAAAGGTTGTGGTAATTCAAGTCCTTCTTTGGCTTCAAAAAATGTGTAAGATAAAGTCAAAGTATCAATGTTCAACATCTTTGGATCTTCAGCAAAGTCTGGATCAATATAAAAAAACACTGGCATATCTACCTGTAAAAAAAAAAAGCATGTTGTAGAGATTTATGTACATTTTAGGCACTAAAATTAAGTTCGTGGCACACTCACCCATAGTAGGGATCAACTTTCCTTTGGTAACCCAAAATAGGATTTGAACTTGGGTTATCGATCATGGGCCTGATGCAACAACAACTACACTACCAGTGACCAGTTCTTGTACAAAAGTTTTTCTTGTAAGAGATATCTTTGTAAAGAGCTACTCTTTTATTTTGTCATCAATGGTTGATGATGAGATGCACTTCATACTAGAATGCAAGTTCTATGAAAATGTTAAAACAGTGCAACAACCCAAAAGTGAATAAATTTGTTACAATGTTAACAAATAATAACAGTCAAATGACAATCAAACTACAATGTACATCAAAAATACTACCAGCTGTCCCAAAGTAAATTAAATTTTTTGTTAGCATTTTCATGTATGCTTCTTTTTCGTTCTCCATTTCTATTGTATTTTTTTATCTTGAGTAAATTTCCAAAAAGAATACAATAATGCAAAGATTTTATTATTATTATTACATGTACATGTATATGCTATGGCCAATTAAGTTTAGAGATGGCAGATGCACTCCAACATGATTAGATCAAAAATGGCTATCTAATACATCCATTTTTCAATCTAATTTTGGGTCTATGATCAAACTCTCAGACTATTTCAATTAAACTCATAGATGATATAGTGCATTTCAAGTTAACACTTTCAGTGAAACTCATGTGTAATGCATATATATCATGTCGCCTACCTCTTCATGTGGATTAAGTATTTGTTCTTCAAAACAAAAACACTGTATTTTATTAAAATATTGACCAGCTTCAAATGGTAGTATATTGTAAGTGGCAATACCAATGATAGGTTTATCTGTTGGATTTTTAGCTTTATAAAAAGCTAATGCTGTTTCACCAGGATGCACCTGTAAAAATGAAATAAGCATGTGTATTTATCACATAATCACAACAAGACATGACATTTCATAGACCTCACTCAGAAAAAATTTAAAAACTTATATTGAACTGGGTTTGTGTCAGAGTGAATTAATTCATTATGAGCTGTATTACAATTCTGTTATTAATTGTTCAGAATTGATGTGTTACAATTTTAGGGGGGTGGGGTAAAAAAAAATATTCATTTGGCTTTTCTGACACAATTTATAACTTGTTAACCATATAATGCGATGTGCACTTGTAAACAATTATTACCTGTTCCTGTACCAACTTTGAACAAAACTGGATGACACATATCTGAGAAAAAGCTTGTTTTTTTTAGATTTTTAAGGAAAAAAATGGCTTCCAAGTCATAAAAATTCATTCAATCAAACAGGTCATGAATAACACTGCCTTCACTTGTTGTCATTTGAAAGTTGCAACATATAATTTGTCCAGTTTTTGGCATGGACATAAATTGGCAAACATGATTTCTATGGCATTTTCAAGTTTATAGCACTCTCCATGCTGGTCTCAGCAAGAACACCAGAGAGCAACAAACAAGTACAACAGGTAAAATGACATGTAAGTATACAAATCAGATCTGCAAATATGTTGAAGAGTCAGTGTTGTGTCTGTTTGAATAAACTTCATTGTACAACTGTATTCCTAATACAAGGACACTGTCAATCACAGAACTGTTCCAGCGAAAAACTTCTGATATGTTAGACAGTAACAGGGCAATGACACTGTTTGTCATACAAGTACTAGCACCAGATGAGGAACTGAGAAACTGCAATGATCCTTGGTGTACATTACAGTGCAAGAATCCAGAAAAATATTATCAAGTTTTTATTATCATACATTAATATTAACAAATTGTGTGAAATTGAACTTTTATGTACAGAGAAACACATATTTATGCTTTGGTTGACAGCACTTCTCAAAGTAAAAAAAGAGGACCTGCGAAACTTTATACAATTGTCAGACATGCAGCGAATAGTATGCTTTTGTAATATATGCAGTTTCAGTGGCTTTGCTTTCTGAGAAAAAAATTCTGCGCCTGAAAAAAAACATTTAGTCAAAAGTAAGCAGAGGTTGTAGCATATGTGCTCCCATTAGCTGTTAAATTTAATTAAAAAAGATATTT